CAGAGCTAGCGGTGACATCAATGCTAGCTCCGCCCAACCGTTTACTTTTGGCCCTTTTGACCCCGCTCCGGCTGTCAATATGGCTCAGCCAAGCCGAAGCATATGCCTTTGGCTCGGCTGAGCCGCTCGGCTTCCTTTGGCTGCTGTGCGGGTTATTGTGAATAGCCCGCACAGCAGCCCTTTAGGTCGAATGCACAGAAGGGCTCCTGCGGCTGAAGTGAGCCAAAAGATCAGCTGAAGCTACAGCTGGATCCTTCGGCTCTATAGTGAATAACGCTCAAAGTTTTTTTTAACAGTTAAACTCTAACAATGATCTTCTGTTATATGCTTCCTTTTGGTCTTCTATATATAACATTGGAAGTGTTCTGTTAGTTCTGTTCACAAGGAGGGGTTATGGAGATGAGGTAGGGAAGAGGATATGAAGACAGGTCTTTGTTCTCTGCAATCCGTTAGAAATCAAGCAGGCATGCCTGATACCACATGCTAAGGAATTCAGAGCTCGTCAAAGAGCAAGGTAGAAGCATAGTATACTTATGACACATCAACAGTTATTTTTTTGTACTTGCAGGTTGTTATAGGGACACAAGATGAGCCAGCTAATGTAGGTCACACTATCATATAAAAAAAGCCAGTGGGTGACTCAGCTTACCAGATACTATTTATAGCTGAAATATAATTTCCAGCTGGACTGACCAGCTAACATTTTATTTATTAAGTAAAGCTTAAAAGTGTACCCTTCAGACTTTCAGGAGCTAACACAATGATCACTTTAATGGGCCACCATATATAGGTCTTCAAAACAAGAAAAGCAACCTGAAAATGAACGCTGCAAACTAAAATCAAGTGAGCAGCAGACACCAAAGCTAGGAATCATTCTTCTGTTGAAGTATAAATATGATCTTTTACATAATAGTGTTATTATTGAATAATTTTAGTAGACAGAACATACTAGAGAAAACAATTTGACTAGCATATAATGTACAACACACAATATAAAAAAATAATGAAACTAAAACTTCTTTAAAACGTAAGCAGTTTAGATCAAACAATAGGACTGTTTGAAATAGGTGTAGCCTTTAATGTGTAACTTTCAAGAATAAATTGCTTAAGATTGCTTAGTAAGTGGATCTAAATCAGTGCACTGTCCTATAATGCTTTGCTTAGCACAAATTTGAAAATGTATATTACTTTTTCACAACACAACAGTACATAATGAGGTTTTATATGTCTCTAGCATTCCATAGACAGATTTACACCTTCTCATTAAACTCAACTTGAGAGCTTGACCTGCATTCCTGACATTAATGTTCATAAATCTTGTAATGTAATACAGGGCATCCTTCCTGGTAAACAAGACATTGTGATTCAGAGCATGAGCATCATATTAAATCAAAACTTGCTTCCATTTTCGTTTTTTTATAGTAACAAGCACCAGGGATGTTGCAGAGCTTTTAATATTTACCTGTCATTCTTATACTAACCTTGAAATTAATGACCTGTTTCAATCTGGATAATACCTTAGGGCATTCTGCTTAAGAATAAAACAGGGTCTGTATGAGATCTATTATAGTTACGGCATAGGTAGAAAATTAATACCTTTTTACATATAATTATGTGTCCATTAGTAGAGGTCAGTAATCGTACATGCAAAATATGAACATGAGTTATAAAACAACTGTCTGTATTTTGATTCTCGTCCAGTATTTATTTATTATAAAAGGTCTTCCACTTTCAGATGAAGCTCCACCCTTCAAATGAAGGAAGCAGATACAGTCCTAGGAGCTCATAGTCAGGTTGAAAACACAAACAAATTCATCAAGTTCAACCAAAAGAAAAAAATTTAATGAAAGGCTTTGTATCAACACCGTGCATGTGAAATTTGCCTCTGACAATTTGCAGAGTGTAGGAAACCTGCAAAAGGTATATCTTATATTGTAAGAACCACACATGGATGGCATACAAAGTAAAAAGAGTTTCAAGTGATGTTCTTCATTTTAGCATTTTGGGACTTGCAGTGAATACTGTACAATGTAAGGTGTTTCTAGCGCAAAATAGTGAAGATTTCGACTTTAATCAGTAGTACATAAACAGGGTTATTCACAAAAGGGTGAAGAGTTTGGAGAAGGCAGGAGAAGTGAACAATCTAGGACAACATACCTGAACTGGAAAGTAAGATGAATTGGAGAATTTTTCCAAAGCAGCTATTTTGTCCTAGATTGTTCACTTCTCCTGCCTTCTCCAAACTCTTCACCCTTTTGTGAATAACCCTGAAAATCTTGCGAATGCGCATTCATTATCTAACTGTTCACAGTGGGCCTACCATAGATTGCCCACCCTTCTAAGACCATCGGTGAAACTGTTGTTAAATATCTTGTGCTCTAAAAGGACCCACAGATGAAAGATGATCATACCCTGACCTAGCTGAAAATAGTAACATCAGGCAAAGGACATGTTTCTGTGGGTTTCCTATGACCTGCTATCCAGGATGTGTGTTCCCAGCTGATCACTGGCTTTGTCCTGTGGCAAGGTCAGAAAGAAGGTGTCTGCAAATTATACTGGTGTTCTATATCTTTGAGTAAATTCATTCCTATCATAGATTAACTGCACAATTAGTAATTCATGGCTGATCAAATGTAACCAGAGCTAAATGCTCACAATGAAACACTTGCAAAGCCATGTTTTAGGGATGACATGACAAAATATAATGGTTTTAAGACTTTTTTTCATATTCCTTTCTATACTGATGCTATATATATTAGGGCTGTGCAAATTAACAATTAATTTCTCGATTAATCGTTAATCTTTTTGATCGATTAAAATTGTTTTGATTGCTAATGAAAATACTCACCTCTCCGTGGCTCCGTTGGCTAACTAAGGGAAGGGGGGAGGAGTCCGGTGAGGTCGATGTCCCCAAGTGAGACTTTCAGCACAAGCGCCAGCCAAGGCATTGGCCTATACACATACAGCACAGCAATGAAGTAATAAAATAAACTAGGATCACACTAATCCAGCACGTTATTATTCTGAGTTGCCCCACTCAAGCGGCGACCATATTGAGTGGGGCGCGTGAGAGTAATAACGTGCTGGCTGAGTGTGATCCTAGTTCATTTTATTACTTCATTGCTGTGCTGTATGTGTATAGGCCAATGTAGTTGGATCTGTATGTGCGTTATAATTAATCGAAATTAATCGATTAAAAT